AACTCTCTAACAAAACCCGCTCAGCCACACTGGATGGGACCCAGAAAACTGACAAAGATTCAGATCAGACAGTCTGTTTGGGCGGTCCACGTTTGGTCAGTGTAAGATCAACTCCATGTTCTCTCAGAAGCAAAAGCAATGAAGACTGGCTACAGCTGCAGTCTCCTACAGCTTGTAAACTGTTTAAACATCTTTCCAAATCACAGAGAAAACTGTCATATTATTTCTTATCGCATAATAAGCAGATTTGAACAATGAATTAGGAGGAATCGAAACGTTTATAATTTTAATTGTCCAAAATGTCTTTTAATTTTATCTAATCTTCATTCTAATAAAAAATGTGTTACAAATAAATACTAACACACAAAAAGTTCTTCAATAAACCAGTATAAAAAATAAATCTGGGTAACCATTCTCTCTCATTGTTGAATAAGCATACATATTCGCTGAGATTCAAAATGCTGTACAGTTTTAGTGTGGTCCAACTTTTGTAAAATATATGAGTACATCTAAAGAAAAAAAAAACAACCCCAAAACCAGAGACACTGGTCACCTTTGAGTGATGGAATTTCAGAAAAGGAATTATATCCTTTCCTGAGTACTTCTAATCTAGCCAAAATTTCCTACAATAATAAATATAATAAATATGATATTTATTATAGTAAGTGCCAGGCAGGGTGTGGCATGCTTTCTTTATCTCACAGAGTTCTCCTAGCTTCACAAGGTGGGTATCATTATTATCCCTGTAGATGTGGAAGCAGAGACCAAGGCAGTTAATACTGAGGGGTGAGGAACTAGAACTCAGGTGGGTCTGTCTCAGTCATTCTGCTGCTGCTGAATTTTATTTGGGGCCAGGAAAAAACACTATTTTTTAAAAAAAAATGTATATGCTACATAGTCTGGTGATAAGCTAAATGCAGACAATATATCTCTAGGCATTTACCTTTAAGATTTTTATTAGGTATTGCTTAAATGCTTCTATGATTTTTTTATATTTTCAAAACTATAGCATCTATTCAAAAACAAAAGAAAATTAATCAAGTTGTACAAATTTAAATGGATATTAAACTCAAAGGGTAGATCTCCCTCAAGACACACTATTGCATTTAAATCCCTAATAATAGTTACATGATGCTAAAACCAACTAGATGTAAGTGAGTAATAAAATTTACACATTTTTTCAGTGAGAATTCAGTTACTTGTAATAGACAACCTCTTTCTGATTCTAGCCTGGCCCTGTAGAAGAAAGTAAAAAAAGGTCTCTCCTCCCCTTTTTTTGAGGGAGACTGGCTGGATGGGGATCTGAACCCTTGACCTTGGTGTTACCAACACTACACTCTAACCAACTGAGCTAATCGGCCAGCCCAGTCTTCCCTTTTAAGAGGAATAAAATTAAGACTTATAGAAAATGGTGTGCCATAGAGCACATGGAAGTCACAGTTTCAAACTCCCATTCCAAGCACACCAAAAATCAAAGAAATATAAGTTAAAACAGTGGAGTAGCATTTTTCACCTATCATATTTGTAAAGATGATAACCAATGAAAATATTATCATAGGAGTACTGAAAAACTGTCATCATTTAACACTTTTAGTAGAGAGTGACTAGGAAATAAATATGGAGCAAACTTCAAAATATGAAAAACCACTGACCAGCTGATTCTCGTCCTAGGAACTTATTCTAAGGAGAAAATTAAGTAAGTATGCAAAGACATATGTTGCAATGTTAGATATTCAATGCAGTGTTGCTTATGACACAGAAAAATCAGTAGTAACCTAAATATCCAGGGACAAAGGAGTTTCCTGCTGTATCCCCAGAACTTAGCATAGTGTCTACTAAATGGTGAGACTAAAGTATTTGATGAATGAATGGCACTATAAATAAATTAATAGGACAGGCAATTGAATTCTATGCAGGCATTACATTAAATTTTTTTTTTTTCCTTTTTGTCTTTTTTACTGACTGGTAAGGGATCGCAACCCTCGGTGTCGCGCCTGTACCGGGGACCAGCAATGGGATCGCAACCCTCGATGTTGCACCCGCACTGCGCTCAGCCAGTGAGTGGGAACCGGGCTCCACATGGGATCCGAACCCTCGGTGGGAGCGCCACCGCGCTCCCAAGCGGCGCACTCTCCAGTGCGCCACTGGGCCGGCCCTTACATTAAAATTTTTGATGTAAAACTACATTCAACAAAATAGAAAGGCATCCACAGCATTGGATTACAGGTTACAGACTAGCCTATATAGTACAATCCCAATTACATTAAATTATATATATGTCTACCTATGTGTATATGCACAGATTTCTGGAAGGACAATGTAGGTGGAATTTGGATAATTTCACTTTTTTCTTTATACTTTTCTGTACTTTTTGTAGTTATTATTATTTTTTTTTTTAAAAAACAGTAACCACATGTTTTCTAAATAGGTAGGGGGGAAGTCTTCTTCTTTAAGTTTTCATCCCAACCACTAAAGCTATGGAGGAGGATAATACTATTAAGTAATAGATAATATTCAGAGGATAAAATTTAAGACAATTTCTTTCCTCTTTATTTCTCAAATATGGCTACACTAGAAGTTCTCTTTTCTGCAAGTTACTCCTATAACATGTCCCAAACAGAATGAACACAAACAACATTCATTTTAAAACAGTTGCACTAATGCTCTGGTAGGCACCACACTGAAGAGAGAATCTCAATATATGCTACTTCACTATTTTGCCTTTCTCTGTCCACAACCTTTCTGAACCTGGCCTTGTTAAATTTCTGGCCAACATTCATAGCCCAAGAAAGCTCTCTTGGGCTCTGTGTGCATCCAAGTGCATTCTCCATCAACAGTCTCCATCTGTCAGCTCCACACACAAAGGCCTTGAGTTATCTGGCAAAGAAACATTGCTTTTCTTGAATGCTGAATTGAATTAACAAGTGGACAGCTCATATTAATAACTAATTGTTTCTGTAATTTTTGTTTTCAATCCAGGAGAAAACATAGGCATCCCTGATAAACAAATGACAAAGTGTCTCTCTTGGGCTCCAACAAGAGCAGCATGTTTCCTCTGTTGGGCACTGTCTCGTTGCAATGGTACCCAGCCAGCTTCTGAAAGCAGGAGTCAGGGCTGATGAACACTACATATATGCACATGTGCCCTGAAGAATCAGCCAACTGTGAGGATGGCAAAGAAACCCAGATAATCTCATCAGTGGCAAGCCTCCTCTTCTGGATGCCATTTTTCTTAATTACAGAAATTCATCCCAGCCATGCCAATGTATGGATTCACCATGCCAAGAGTAAGCTACACACTTTGGTCTTATATTTTCCCCCAAATAATCCTGCAGAGACAGCAAGATGGAAGGCTAAGAGAATCAGAGATGGGCTGCTGGAAGGAAACACACGTGTCTGCTGCTTCCCTCCATACGGTTCCTGGACACAGAATCAATCCAGGCAGGTACTGAACACAGCAGCAGCAGACGCCCAACATGCAAAGCACCCTGAAGACCCCAGGTGTGAGGCGGGGCTGGCTTGATCTTGTCAAGCTGATTATGGACTTAACGCTGCAAATACTCTTTTAAAAAAAGGTCCAATTGTGTAGAAGACAGCCCTGCCGGCATGAGCTCTGAGTTATGTCTTCAGTGATTGTGACTGCATGTAATGACACTTATGTGTTTTGGTACCATTCCTTTAAAAGATGCTGGGCCAGCCTCAAGGGCAGGCTGTGCCGTTAGCCACCCACAGCCTGCTGAGAAAGGAGCCTGCCCACAGCCCCCTTGGAGCCCGCTACACCCATAGTAGGGGTACCCAGCCTCTCGCCTTGCTTTTGCCATTGCTGACTAGTTTTCTCTGATGCTGCTGTCATGTCCTTTGTCTACCCAGAGCTGTCTGCATCTGAGCCACAGCTATTTCCTGAGGGATATAAAACTCAACAAACTGCAAATAAACAACACAGAACATGATCTCATGCTGTCATGCTGCTGTTTCTCTAAAATGTAGCATCGTGGCAGCTCTGATTTACAAGGATCATTTGACCTTCCGTTTTCCCTTTTGGTTGCTTCTTTCCTCTTAGTCCATCAGCTCCATCCATTGCCTAATGAGGCCCCTCTTGGACCACCCCTACCCCAGCCCCAGGCTCTCAAGCTCACCAGGCTACAAGAAGTACACTTGTAAAGTTCACCAGCTACTCTTAACTTCCATGTTCTTAGCCCCCAGGACCTGACTGGAATACTGGCAGCTTCTCTCCTCACAAGTCTTGGCTAGGTTTGATCACCTCCTCTCACCCAAACTTCACCTCTTTATTCCCCATTTCAGTCAGTGGCCCAGAAACTCAGAGTGTGTCTCCCTCTCTGACTCTCTCCTGCATCCGCTATATCCAGATGGGCTGCCACAGCAATCCTGCGGGTTCAGTTGTCCAAAAGTCTTGTATTTTTCATCAAGATTTTGTGCAGATAAAATAAAATAACATTCTGCAAAGGTGTCTGTAAACTATAGTACACTCTACAAATACAAGTTATCAGTATGGGCATAGTCATTTCTTTTCTGTTCCCTGTTGAAATCATTCAAACTCTTATTTCAACAATTAAGTCCTTCTGTAATTGGACTCACTTTAAGTCTCCAACTAGATGTAATTGTTGTTTTATGACAGTATCTGAAATCAAATATTCTTTCCTCTCTGAACCTGGCTTGAAAACACAGCACTTGAACCACCTTCCCCAAGACTCTGACCCATATTAAATTGAGTTTTAGTCATTCCATTAACCCCTTAGGCAGAATTTTCATTAGTTGTACAGACATGTGCATTGCAGAGGTCTTTATGTAGTTTCCATTTTCCATTTCTTTATTGTCTAATTTGTGTTTGCATAATTCTCAAATTTGCACAAGGGATCATGTCTTGACATGGACTGTTAGTGACCAACTGATTTCAGCTCATTACAGATCATAGATTAGTTCCAGCTCCCCCACTTTTTTATACCCAATGAATTTTAAAAATATTGTTCCCACACACTCACCCTTGGTGTCTCCTCCAGAGGGTCTGGTGATGAGAGAGTTACTAGCAGTATTTAAGTCTCATTTCAACTCAGGAGTAAGAAATTCATCCGCCCGACAAAAACAGCTAAAGGATAAATCCAAATACCCAAGTGTTATTTTCTTCATCCCACAAACCCAGGAACATTACACGACCATGACACAAGCTTGGATGGCATCCCATGACTATCAGATGATAGATGTTTTCATTGGTTTCTCCTTAAATCAGGGCTATTATCAGCAGCATGATACTGAATGGGAACCCTGAGCAATAGAGCTCAAATTGTATCTGACAAAGCTCACTTCATAAATCTCAACTATTTTCCTACTGAAGAAATGTTGTATTAAGGCAATTCTGTTTATACAACCATTATGCATTTATATGCCCTTTAAAGATAAATGATACTTTTATGAAGAATAAATTACATACAAAATACTATCTGCCTTGGCAAGATGCCAACACACACACATTTAAAATATACAAAACAAAAACGACCAGCCACTAATACTTCTCCTAACTAAAACAAGTGGCGTACAGAATTCTCTTTTGAATAGTAGGGCGATCTTAACGAGGAAAGCAAAATTAATACATTGCTGTTAGGAAATGACCTAGAAATAGATAAGTTTACTTTAGAGCTTAGGATATTTGAATTCGAATTTAAATCATGATTTAATATTACATGTATAATTAGAATGACCTAACTGAATGGGCAAAAATACCAACGTTCATTCATTCACTCACTGAATATGTATTGACAAGTACTCTGATAGACAGGGGAATATGAAAGACACTGTCCCTACCAGCTCAGAGTCTTAGGAAAAACAGAGATATAATCATAAAACAACAACACATAAGCACTGTAATTATTCAAAATGCTATGTTGGGAAACACCAACATTTAAGTAGCTGGCAGATCATAAAATGGGTAAGAAAGAGATCTCTTTAGGCAGACCAGGGTCATTTCCAAGTTAAAAAGCAGTATCTATAAAATGACCCTATTTACGTTAATAACAAACCAACCAGATTACATGGAAAAGATTAGGAAAAGAGAACCAACCAGGTGTTATCCATGGTTAGCTGTGGGAAGGGAAGTGGGTAGGAAGATGGTAAAAAAAGACTTTATCTTTTTACTTTGTATTGCCTGAATGTTTTTTCACAATCTATATGTTTGTGTCATACTTGAATAATGAATAAATAATAACAATCGAAGCAGTTGGCAGAGGAGGAGGCAGCAAAGCAGACTGAATGAGATGAGCCAGAAGCAGAAGGAAATCCAGTCGGAGGTGGAATCACAGAAGCCAAGGGAAGACAGTGCTGAGAGGGAGTGCCGGTCAACCATACCATCAGACATCACAGAGAGCTGGAAGGTGAGGACCTGAGAAAGGACTTGTTCCACAGGAAGAGGAATCTCTACTTTCTCTACAGTGAACACCAGCTGTGGAAATAAGTCTGCAGCAGGGTGGAAACAGGCTGTGAGGGAATGAGCGCAGGTGCAGATCCAATGCCACGGGACAGGTGACACACATGATCGAAGAGAGTTGGGAGCCAGGGAAATGATGCTGCCCTCTGTCTCTTTCATGTTGCCAAATGGGTAGAAAATACCTGTCCATTTTACAAAAATCTACACTGCAAACGTGATTATGGATGGCAGGCAACACTTGTGGCCATAGACTAAAGATGTGGGGACCCACAAGGCACTGGACAGAGGGCCCAGAAACCACCTACTGGAGGCCGCTTTGCAGCGCCAGCCCCAGCAATGTCTGCTATGTTGGCCCAATGTTGCCAGATCATCCTATTTTTAAAGAGGAGACATAAATCTAGATTTTTAAAAATGTGAAATATCCTGATTTTTAAATGCTGGCTCACATTTTTTAAAAAACACTGGACTAGGCAATATATGTCAGTGGGTCACCTCTAGCATTGAGACTCTCTATAAGTTTGGCATTGAGGAGAAAATATCAAGTAAAAATTTTAAAATTTCCCTCCCTTTTTTTAAAGAATAAGAGCTTTTTACATGTTGCTATGCTAAAGGCCAAGACCTGTTGGATAAGAACCATCCCTATCTCCTTATTTTTAAAATATCCAATATTTGAATTAAAAAGGTCTTGCACTGCCTTTACAACTCTACACACTCACCTGCTCTGCTGGTAAACATCTAATCCAAACTCTGGTATCATGCTAACATAAGAGAACTTGGCTAACTGTTACAAGTGTTAAAATATGTGTCTGGGTGGGAAGGACAAATGAACTGGTAATTTTTAAAAGGAAAGTATGAGGAAGGACAAAAATTTCTCATGGAAAACACATAAACACTCAAGTTGACTTTCAGTTTATCAAATTTCCTCAGGAAAGAACTTCCCCTTTGCAGCTTATATTACAACAGCACCCAACAATGTCATTAGAATGCTATTTTAAATCAGTTCATCATATCGCTATGCCTCAGGAACTGAAAGCAAGAAGTACATGAAGTCATCAACTGTGGACACACAACATTAAGAAGTCAAATAACATTTGGAACCAGGAAAATAGTTTCAACAGCACAGCATCTCTACAAAGGGAAAATATCAACAGTTGTTACTCTCCTGTGAGTACACCGTCTTTGAAAAGTTTTCATGGCAAACTTTGGAAAACTGAAAACCATCTATTCCAAGATGTGAAGAATGCATTTGGTAATGACTCATGTGTGATAACATCAATGGGTGGGCCATTGCCACAGAATCTATTTTAAGCTCATTTCACTTCGCTCTGGTCTCCACAGTTTAATAAGGGGCAATTTGGATGATGGTAAATATTAGTGCCTCTACTTTCAAATGATTTTCCTCCTGATGCAACAAATACGATCTCAGGCACATGGAAAGAGAACTCACGTGAAAGCACTCTGTACAACTGAAGTTTAGGAGAAAGCCTTGGCACCATCATTGATGGGAACAGACATCTTCATGGCGTCTTGTTAACGCTGAGTTCCGTTGCTGCCTGTGGCTCCCTGTGTGGTTGTCTATCAAGAGCACATTTCTCTGTCTTGTGTGCCATGTCTTCAGCTCACACACTAGTACAGACTGCTCTAACTTGTCCTTCCCTGCTCACTCTTTCTCATCTACTTTTGTCTTGCTTTGCTCACATTCATTCTCTTTGTATTTGCTCGGGTTTAGGTTTAGTAATTTTTCTTCTCTGGCCTCTTGTCCCTTCTTCCAGTTTGAACTCTTTCCCCTCCACTACTCCCTGCCCAAATTAATACCAGCTTCCAGTCAAAATGTTACCAGGTAGCCACAGAATGTGTTCTTGTATACCTTCACCCCTAAGGTTCTCATTTGTATCAAATTCATAAAATCACACACTGAACCAATGTGTTTGTCAGAACACATCTTTATTTTATACTGTGACAAAGGAACTGCATAAGGTTTCCAGGGTTTTTGAAAGCTCCTCCAGACTCCCCTCTGTGCATTGCAGGCATCACCTCAGACAGCCAGGCCTAACATTAGCACTATAGTTGTAAAACCTGCTAAAAGACTGAAAGAGAGAAAGCCATCACCTTCTGACATGTTGGAACAGTGGTCCACATCGCTGGGATCTCCCTGCACTGTAGGCAGAGAGACCCAGACAGATCTCTGCATTTCCAAACAAGGTAAAGATTCTATTCCCCAAGTCTTGGGAAGGACATCCCTTCTTTCCATTTAGCTACTATGCTTTCAAGATCTTTGCCGAAAACAGATTTAATTGCCTCAATACAAACACCAAAGAATTAGTTTTATAATTTGGCAATTGAAATAACATGGAGCCTCTGGCATTTACATTATTTAGAAGTAGCATGATATAGGTGTTTGAATAACTAGATGGACCTGGGCTCAAATCCTAGCATTAGCTCTGGTATAACACGACACAGGAGAGTTACTAGGCTTCCCTGACATCGGTGATTTTCATCAGTAGAGTGGGGATATCAGTACCTACCACAGAGGGTTTCTGTGAGGATTAAACGACATGAGGTAACAGAGAAGAATGCCTGGCACTGACGCAGTAAACAGTGGTGTGAGGGGTGGAGATGAATCACACATGTCCCCAGGCGTCCCCCTCCGGCTGCTGATGTGCATTCCAGCTTCGTCTTCCTTGGGCTTCCTGTTGCCCACCCTTCTGGGAAGGTCGTGTCCTGGCCTGTTTGGGGGGCATTTTGTGATGTAGCATCACGAGGGAAGGTGGAAGAGCAAGTGGGCCATGGTTAGGAAAGTGTGGGGAGCAGTTTGTACCATTGTGGAGTGCGAGGAAAGCTGGAGGGAGAAAGGGGGACTTAGAGAAGTACTGTTGTGGAGTCCACGTCCCTACCGCGTAGTGAGAAGAATCTGCTCTTTTGACATTATAGTCACTAGACTATATCTGTGACTCTAACATCATTGTGAAACTGGATCCTGTGGGTCTGGATATGTGAGTCTTACACAGTTTTATTATTATTTAATTATACAAATGTGGGAGTGGAGGTGGTCCACAGCAAGAGGGAAGGGAAGTGAAAACAACTGAGCTACCTATGTCATTGTAAGAGGGATGCAGGAGGCCAGCAGGCAGGGGACCGATGGACAGAAGGCTAGACGCCAGGCCTTGTTCTCCACCCCTGCTTCTCTCTGGCCCTGGTGAGTCATTAGCATTTCTGTGTTTCAGGTTCTTCCCTTGTAAAATGGCAGGATGGGAGGGCTCTATTATTATGGCACACGGCTGACCTTTTAAATGTTGGTTTGGAGGTCAGCCAGTGGCTGGGTCCTCCCAACTCTAACTTCTATTGCTCCTTAAGCAGGAGAAGTACGTATATGTGTGCGTATACTGACATCTATATGTGCGTGTGTGTGTATGTGTATGAACACACACAAACACAAATTCTGTAGCTACCACTGAACAAACCACTAAATCACCTAAACAGAAAGCCTTCAGAAGGATCATCTGGTTAACCCCTTTACATCCAAAGAACATCCTTGAATCTAAAAAGAAGAATAGATTTCTTTTCCCAAAATTCTCCAAA